AACTGTCGAAGAAGATCCTACGAAACTAAACTTCTAATTTTTTAAGAAAATTATTCTTACATTGAGTACTTTTATCGTTGTGTAGATCTTAGGAAACATAACGTTTGCAAGTGAGTATGTGTGAATGCTTGCAAAGAAAATATCATCCCTCACGTTGATATATCGTAGGTTTGTATAATAAAAATTATCTGTTTTTTTTTTTTCATTTCTTTTGATGTCCTTTTTGATCTCTTTTATATGTGCTATTACATTAACACAAAATAACCAGTATGAACATATTCGTATAAAAAAACTATACGCATACGTTACTTTCCAATTGGTAAAAAATTTCTTTTCATAATGGAAACGTTTTAATGTCATCAAACAAATTTAATTTATTTAACAATCGATAAAACTGAAGCACTTTACAAATTGACAGGTTAATACATCACATTTTGCATTATAATAATTCTTTCCACATAAACGAAAGTTCTTAATGAAAACAAATACCATATAAATATGATTGAACGTGTAAGATTAGATATATTTTTTTTTTGTTACAATTCAATTAATTGCAAAATTACGAATGTTATTACTAAAATTTTGTGCGATATTTTATCTACTATTGTTCACTTTAAACGTCACAATATTGCGTTAGTGTTTCCTCAGGGTACCTTTTATCTATTCACTGTGTACAAAAATAACAGATGATGCACGATACAATTTGCAAACGTCGATGATCAAAGGAATGTTTTCGTCATCGATCGAAGGATCTGCGTAGATTCCTGTGATTTTCGATAGTAGAAAAAGAACGAATATTTTTAATTGCATTATAATTAATATTTTTCTTAAAATATTTCTTAAAAATAACGTCCTTTACTTAAAAGTTGCAAACGAATAACTGTGTTGTTAAAAAAAAAAAAAAAAAAAAAAACAATTGCGTTATTATAAATAATACAACATTCGTTCTATCATGAAAGAATATCCCATGAGACTAAATTTCTTTAACTTTGAGTATAGCTATCGTTGTGAAGATCTCATAAACTCGTACGTAACATTCGTGTGTACTTTTGTACACACATGCGTACAAACAAAACAATTTTTCTAACGTTTAACTATTATCGATCGTTTTAATAATCGTTATTTTTCTATTTCCTCTTCTCTTATTGTGTCTTTTTTTCTTTCCTTTCACTTTAATAAGTGCGAGATTATTAATGCAATATTGTATATATTACTGTATATATAATACTGTTATAATACGTATTCACATATACAAATAACACTTTTAGTGATACACTTTAGAAATGTCCTACTTCTATTTGAATAATATCGTAGCTGTTTCAAACGATATAAAAGACTCTAATACTATTAAAAAGCACTTTGAGAATATTAAACGTCGTACTTTAATTATTCTTACTGAGAGAACAAAGAAAATTTGCATAGAAAATTATTTGAAATACATATTTACGATACTAAATAATATTTGTTAGCAAATATTGTTATAGAATGTACAAGGACGGGTTAAACATTTATTTGAACAATTTTTTAGTATGCTATATAGTTTTATTATTTAGTATGCAGAAAAAAAATAGATATTATTAAGTATTATAAAATTAATCATATAAACATGGTGAAAACAATAATTAAATTGTTGTTAAACTTTCCTTTCGTTCATCATAATATTCGGATGATTCAATCGACGCGTAAAATTAACCACTGATTGTTTCTTCATTTTACGAGAATGAACATACTTTTCTATGAATAGAATGCATACACTAAAAGCGATACTAATTAGAATGAAGGAAATTAATGAAACTACGAAGAATATGGAAACTGGAATATGTTCTTGCACCGGTCGTTTGAGTTTATTCTTATACGTCGTATCTTTCAAACGATTTACCATTCCATTATGGAAAAATTTTTGTAACCTGTAATAAGTTTGTTCTATAAAATAATAAATTACGACAAATTATTATAATTTGAATAATTACCAAAAATTGATGATTCCAGTGAATGCACTATGTTTGGATAAAATAATGGATAAACTTTGTATACCTCCTTCTTTAACAGAAATAATATCGCATGGCAATTTAGATGATAATTGATCTTTTGCTTTCTCGTCAATGTACATCGTCAATTTTGGATTTTCACAAATCTGTAATTAATAAATTATATTAAAATTATATAATAGTTTATATAAAATATAACAATATTTTTATTATATTATATTATATTATAAAACTGATAAAATAAATATAATGATAAAAGTTATTTTATGTTTTAATCTTAATAATTTCTTTACAGCATACTGTAATCGTTAACACGAATGATATTTATATGGTTAGTAATAAAAAGGATTTAATAGTTAATAGTACCATATTAAATGCGTCCAATAAAGAAGTTGGTAATTTGTCTTTTTTAAATTTTAATTTCATTAATTTATTCTTAAGTGGACTTTCCGAATTCTGTAAATAAATTTCTTATGAAATATAATTATATATTTATTTTTATAGTAAAACAAAGATAATTGTTATCATATTTACCACAAATAAATCAAATTCATTCGAACCACGATAAACGAAATATTTATAAGTACCGTCCTTAACAAAAGTCTCTAATGAAGAGAAAGGTTTCACGTGAATGTTAGATGTTAAAAAGCTTGTCAAAGACGCAGAATAAGCTGCTGATAATACGGTAACAAAAAGAAACATAGTATAGTATGCTACTTTTAATGAAGTTCTTCTAGGAAAATCTAAAGTAAACGAATATTTGTATAAACATTGTTATGAAGAAAATAAAAGTTTGAATAGAAATTAATTAGATAGAAGGTAAAAAAAAAAATAAATTGAAACCTTCAAGACCCTGTTGACAAAAAATACCCCAAACTTCAAAACAAATATCTGATCCCAAATGTATCAGATCACGATCGGTACCTATTTTCATTTTCAGAAAAATTAATAATATCGATGCTGCTATTAGTATTAAAAATATAGTGATCCAAACGGGATAAGTAAAGGTCTGTAAAAAAAAGAAACGATTTCATTTGTTATTGTTAAAAAATGTATAACAAATATGAAAAGTTAGATTGTAGATTTACTTACTTGAAAATACGTTGACCATTTAACAGCGAAAATATTTGGTTCGCGAAGGAAAAAAGAGTTTTTAGATATAATAATAGGAAAGGAAAAGTCAACAACGTTCAATCTTGCACTAGTCATAGAAAATTCTGAAAGAGAAATATCAGCACGTCCGGAATATATTTCACCAATTGCACCAGACCAAGTATTATCATTAAGATTCCTACTTCCGTACTCATCTACTTCTGAGACGATATTTAAACTGAAGTTTAATGTTGCACAAAGTTCGCAAAATATATTTCCAAAAATACCACCGAATTTATCATCTTGCATATGAAAGAATAGGGAATCCTGACGAGAAAAAAATCAATAATTCTATAAAATTTATGGAAATAACGACGAAAAATAGAATTTTTTAAAGTATAATATATATTTTACCTTAACAACAACAGATTTCATAGCCAAACCTTGTAAATTATTTCTTCTTTCGTAAAGAGATTTTTGAACCATTTCAACGATTCCTTTCTTCGAATTCCATGTAGCAAAATAGTCGATATCGGTACGTTTCGTGTCGAGTGAATACCATTCGCGTAAAATATTTTCCCTTCCGCAAAGAACAAGCATTTCAGAATTGAATCTTAAATGAAAAATATTTCCAGGTGGACTGAGACAATAATCAGAACCATGTCCTTTGTAAATAAAAATCACAAGCCAAACGGCAAATGACATGTCAAATGTACTAGTTGCTAATGAGAA